GCGCGTGCACAGTGGCGGCCCGGGCCTCGGCGCCCCGCGGCCCCTCCAGGCGCCGTCTGAGCGAGACTAGGGCTGGGCTGGGGGGAGGGGGAGGGCCGGACGGGAGCCAGGGTGGGGGCAGGGCCGGGGGGCGTCCTACGGACCCGCCAGCCTGCCACCCTCCACCCGCCACCTGCTGGAAATCGGGAACAGGAATTGCACTCCAGACAGGGTCTTCGAGGGTCGGGCAGGGGCACCCCAGACCTGAACAGCGCCCTCATCTCGTAGGGTGGACCAGGCGGCCGGGGAAGGTGCCTGGGGGACGGCAAGGAGGCGAGAGTCCCGGCACCCCCCGCCCCCCAGGTCACCAAGGTGCCCTCTAGCCACTAGGGCTACAGATTGTGATCAGGGGAAGCCACCAGGGAGTGTCCAAACGCTTTTGAGATGATGAGATAAGATCCCAAGGCCAGGAGACGCCCTGAAAAAGGAAGCGGAGGGATGGGCTAAGGGTGACATCTTTCTGATGACAACACTGCCTCGCGTTTGAATAGCGCTTTATACCTTTTTAAAAGTGTTTTCTATTCGTTATCTATGGTCACCCTTATCCTATCCCTCTGAGATAGGTGGGGTGGGACTTTCCTGACTCGGTAACTGAGGAAAGTGAGCCGCGGGCCAGACGGTTATCCCAGATCACACAGGACGAGCGCGGTGTCCCCAGCGCAGTGTCCCCACCACACACGCTGCCTACCTCCGTTCTCTGAGAGACGACGCCGGCCCGGCCTTCAGGTCTCTCTCCTCTCCCTTTCCTCCCCTTGATCCACCAAAAAAGAAAAAACAAAAACGTCAAGCAACAGGGCCCACCTCATGGGATTACTGGGAATGAGGAACAGATTGGCTACAAAATGCCCCGGGTTGTGCTTCCGGAGAGCTGGCGGTGGCCCCCTCGCCCCCAGCCTGTTCCTTCCACCTCCAGTCCCTCATCTGGTGCAGCAGCATCTTTTCACTGCACAATAGTGGCCTGGCCCTCCAGAGGCAGCTGGTGCCCTGAGTCAGACCTCACCCTGATGATTTATTCCAGTTTTCCCAGGGCACAGGGGTGAGGGAGAGGGTTTTGCTGCGAGAGCAGCCATCCAGAGAGCAAGTCTCTTTCCAGGAGGGCCGGGCACATGGGTGCTAGAGGCTGAGCTTCAGTCTCTCTCCTGCCCTGGGCCTCCCAGTTGGTGCTGTTAACTGACCATGCTCATGGACATGGACACAGACCCTGCTATGCTCCAGACCCTGCAGGCGCCTTGGGAAGCGCCCAAAAGACCCCCTTTCGTGTTGGTGCATCTGCTCCACGGCTCCACCTGCTACATCCTGCGGGGCCACATTCTCCATTTCAGCGTCTTGCATGGCCAGGCTCTGGGGTGCAGTGGCATGCCCCAGGACCCTTGTTTGTGTCAAAAATGACTTCCTGCTCCTCCCATGGATCCTGCTTCTTTCCCAGCCAGGGAGCCCACTGGGCGGCCAGCACTGGGCACCACTTCTGTGAGCACCTTGCTTCTGCCCTTCCCTTCATCTGCGCTGCTCTGCTTTCCTCAGACCCCTTTTTGCCGTGCAAAGGGAATTCTTGAAATTAAATAAAAGGTATCCAGATTGCAGACTGCATGTTCACAGAGCTGGAGGGGTCTCCAGCTTGGCTTCCTACAGTAAAGACCTCAATGAACTGGAATCCAATTAGATGGGTTTTTTTCCTTCATTCTGCTTTTGGAAGGAGGCAAATCTTAAGAAAATGAGATAAGAAATTAAATACAGATAAGGTTAAATGGAATTTTCTTAGAGCAGAAGGAGATTCTAGTTCAGTGATTGGTTGGGAGGGGATAGTATGCCACTTTTCAAAAGCATTGCAGAAAATCGATATTTTTATAATCTCAATCATGGAAAATGAGATCAAATTCTCTTTGACTGTTGGGAGTATGAGGA